GCGCGCCCCCCTCTACACACACACACACACACACACACACACACACACACACACACACACAAAAACTTACAGTTCACTGTATTGCATTAATAGAAAGTCAGATAATATGAGGATTTTAATATATTTTTTCCCGCAGGGGAGGAAAACTTTATGATGCAGCTATGCTTACTTACTAGACTGTCTCATTCTTTTGTTTAATGCTGAGGATATCTCTAGTCTAAAAGCCTCAGAAGGACTGGTGTAGGAAGGATGCAGCTTTCTTGTTGAGAAACACTCTTCCCTCAAAGAGAACAAGTGGACCCAAACCATGGCAGCAAAATGCCCCCTACAGCATAACAGAACTACTGAATCCCCCAGATTTCCTTTAATTTGTCACCCATCTCTATTTTCAGTCAGGATATGATGTTTGATATTGCTTGAACACTTCAACACTTTTCTTGCATAGTGGACACATTAGAGTCTGTTTGTCAGTGGATGGTCTTCATAGCAAAAGTTGACAACTCCTCTCTCATAATTCACATCTTCATCCTTCTCTCCATCCTCCAACCAGTGGCTATGCCCATGTATTGCTCTGTCTTCACTGTTACTCTGTTGTCTTATTTTAAACCTCTTGTTGTTGCTGTTTCTCACTGAATCCTCAAGAGCTTTTTGATTGCGGTAAAAATGTGAAAACTTGTTGAAAATGATGGTGATGGGTAGTGCCACAACTAATGTACCACTCAGGATGCAGCCAGATGCTGCCAGCTTTCCTGCCACTGTCACTGGCACTACATCTCCATATCCCACTGTTGTCATACTAACAGTCCCCCACCACCAGCATGCTGGGATTGTGTCCAAACCAACATCTTCTTCATATTCTGCAGTGTAAGCTATTCCGGAAAACACTGATACACCCACTGCCAGGTACAGTAATAAGATTCCAACCTCTCTGTAGCTGTGCTACACAAAGAAACAAAAACATGATTTTTTTACATGTAAAATATAAGTAGAAACACATAAGCACTTAAGTGCTTAAGCTATTGAGTTGCCTGAACTGGGTATTTTGACCGTTTTACAATAATTTCCATTTTTGTAATAATTGGAAGGACTTGAAGGATTTTATTGAATTTTTAAAGACAAGGTAGTCAAAAAATATGCTGTTTATGGATTATTTGGTACTGGTATCATGGATTAATTTAATTATTTACAGTTAGTACTGTTTAATATGTTAGTGGTTTTCAATGCTGATCTTGGGGACCCACAGAACTGCGTCTCAAGATCACACCTGATTCAGATTAACAGCTCGTTAAGAGAGAGCTCCATAAACTAAAGTGATGCTGCTTCCCAATTTGCCTGTTTATGCTATGCCCTAAAAGTATTTATGCTTTTTGTGAATAAAAAGTACATACTGTACATATGAGTGAATAGCAGAAGAGTAAGTAAGTTTTTCAACATACTACCATGTCAGAAAATTGCTTATTGAAACAACAGGCTGCTTTGCCGCAAAGTTACATCACATGCATTCTTTTACCATAAACTGGTCTGTTTCATTTCATTTCATTTCTGGTACTCATGTAAAGACACAGCCAGAAACTGACTCATCCAACCACCAGAGGGAGTTGGTTCAATCCTCTGCCCAGGATTCACATCACTCCATTTTTTTCTACAAATACTTTCTGTTTGTAAGTTTAAATGCCATGTGTTTCCATATGCCCATTGTAAAGTATTCCCAATTCACCTGCTTTACTGAGTATTTCTTCATTGTATTATGGTCTTGCCTGTTAATGTTCTGCCTGTTTATTGTAGAGTGACCATATGTGTCCTTTTCCCCGGACATGTCCTGGCCAGGATTTATATATTGCCTAAAGTATCCAGGTTTTGGCTTTATTTGCCCTGCGCAGACCGATCGATGTTATGACATCAAAGTACCGTAAGAGCTATAGAGAGCAGATGGCTCCTTACGATTTCGAATCGCTCACGGTGCTTTGATGTCATACACCGATCGGCAGTGCTGCTTCAAGTCGAACACACCTAAAATGTACGCGTATTTGCATCGCTTTGACTGTTCTCTGTAGATTCCACCTTCTCACGTTCCATGATCGGTCGATTATGTAGCTACAATGCCTGCATGTTTTTCGATCATTACCTTCAACTAGTATGAAAACAGGAAACCAAAACCTGGATATTTTAGGCAATATAGAAATCCTGACCAGGACGTGTCCGGGAATAAGGGCATGTATGGTCACCCTAACTTTAATAAGCTCATCTGTGTCTTCGTCTGACCTTTTATTTTTTTCATTTTTTTTTTACTGCATTCAAGCATTAAATCTAAGTGAAGTTCAAAGTTTAAAAGTAATGAAGCAGCATTGATCTTGTGCACATTCGCCATGTTTAATTTCTTTGATATTCGTGTTTGTAATTTTAAACCAAAAGGGCTTGTGGACAATATTAAGTGTTAAGAGTGTGCATGGATGTGCACTTCAAAAATACACTGGAAATAGTAGGCCATCCAGGTATCTTTGGATTCTCAATTCAATATACTGTATTTTGGGAGAAATTAATTCTAATCTTGGATATATTTAGGGTGGATAGTGGGAATTGGGAAGCATGGTTTTTTAGATAAGAGTGACATACAAAATGTGGAGTGCTGTAGGTCTCCCTCCAAGTCCAGGTTTGAACACCAATGCAATATGCAGCTAGTAAATGCACTCGAACAGTGACGGTGTAATCTCACCCGTAGTGTAGCACCTAGTGACCTTAACCCTGTTGAATGCCTAGCCAGCTTCAGCACTCTGAAGATTCTCATCAGCCGCAACACCTGGACCAGTTTTCCCAAGTTGTCCAGCTCTGACTCACTTCCAATGAGCAGATCAAAAAAGATAGTGATGTAAATTGGCATCACTGAGATGATATCAATCAAGTTTAGAGGTAGCAGGAAGAACTTACGATGGTTTGGCGCAAGAAACATACGTGTTACTACCTCAAAGGTAAACCAGCAGATGCAGAACACTTCTAAAACATGCATAGTTGGGTCTTCAGTTGGATTACCACTTTCATCAAATATCTGGTACTCTGGAAGGCTATTGATACACATGGTGGCAATTGATATTAACACCACACAAATGGAAAGCAAGCTGAAAAGTTTGCTAGGGATTGAATAACCTGGATTTTCCAATGTTAGCCACAGACACTTCCAAATGTTTCCAAAACGCATTTCATGGAAGTGCTCGATATCTTTGTTCAGATCAGAAATCTCATCAACCGATGTATCCACACTGCTAACATCACTCTCTTCATCCCAGCTTTTATGATGTCTCTCCAGTTTACGATCAAGGTAACGGTAACTACAACAGCTGTCCAGAAAAAAATCACTGATGCCCCAGTACTCTATTTCCTGAGAGAAGGAGAAAATGCACAGCTCTTCCATAACGTGCAGCTTGCCAGTCTGGTAGAAGTGCAGGACATAAGGGAAAAGGCCAGGGTTACGGTCAAAGTAAAACTCTTTCTGTTGAACATCAAAGTCATCACAGAGCTGTAGAATATCATCTTCTGAGTCACAGGACAAGAGCTGGCCAAGACGCGTGTCCGGAAACTTCCTCAGAATGCTTGAGCATAGAGTGTGCCTCAACCCACCCACATTGATGTGTAAAAGGTTGTCCTTAGGATCCAAAATCCACCAAGTGTGTCTTTCCTTAACCATGATCTACCTATATGCTGTAATAGAAAAAAGGCAACATTTGTTTTAGTATCGCTGGCAGACATAATGGGTTAATTTCTGTGATTCATTTTAATGTGTTAAAAATATTAATATAATTAATGCACCATCATTTTGCCCACTTCCTGTGGCATTTACTGTGTGCTGATGTTATGTGCATGTTATTCAGCTCCACAAAACCAACCCTTTGATGTATGATGAAATTCTCAGCTTATTCTGCAAACAATCATTCTTAACATACAATATATGTAATTCTTTATATTTTATATTCCATCCTTTTTATAATTTATCAATTTTTTAAAATGATTTTAATTTTACAAATGTCTGTAGTTTGTGGTGGATGAAGTACACAAATCATGTACTTGAGTAAAAGTACAGAAGGCTAAATGAAATACTCCATTAAAAGTATTATTTTTTTCTTAAAAACTAATGATTAATGGACCATAATTTTTTATAATTATTATTATTATTTGCAATTCGGTATACTCCATCCTTGGTTTGCTCAGAAAAAAACTATGTGTACCTATGTCCAAAACACACAGCTCACATCATGCATCTTCTGTATCCATATGATATACCCATTTGATTAAGTAACTTCTGTATCCAAATGATCTGATTTCTTTATTCTCAGCACAGTATTTAAACTGGAACAAATAGTGCCGGTGCAAATCAAACTTTTAACATGAAATTTTAAGATTTATTTTAAAAACATTCCGCAATTGCTGGCTGAGCATTTCATCTTTACTTTAATTTCAATGATGTCTCTCCAAAATGTGACAAGCAGATCAGAACACATTCAATCACAAATGTGTTTACACTTCAGTCATCGTCCTCATGCACATATGAGCTAGGAGCACAGTGACATTTTGTCCAAATTTACAGTCTTCAGGCTCACGATTACATCTAGATTCTACTCTGCCTGATTTCTACTTCTGCGCTTATTTCAGCTACTTATTTCAGATTATTGTCCTCCCCCGGCTGTGTGGCGACAAGTGTATAATTTGCACTGAGGTGCGCTGCTGCTGTGTATTAGATATATTGTGATTGATTTGGACAATATAAAAGAGACTCTAATCTTTGCACTCACATAATTTTCAAGATGGCATTCATAGTTGTTTCCCTCCATGTGAGAAATTTATAAGTTTCTCATATGGGCATGAGTGCTGTTTATTGTGTGTGGGTCATGAACTTTAAGATGCTTTGTTCCTGGGTTGGGTTCTTTAAAAAGATCAATCCCCAGCCTTCCTGATATCTGACCTCTGTGGTGCCAGAGGGGCCACACGAGCAAAGGAAGTGAGGGACATGGAGAAAGGGGAGCTCGGGCCTTGTGTTTCTCATCTTCCCCTGTTCTGTCACTTTTGGCTATGAGGATGAGTGAAGGGTGGAGAAATGGGAAAAGGTGGTGTCTGACTTTGTTGTTGGACTTTGCCACCTAGATTGGGTATCGGAAGGTCCCCCCCTATTCAACAAGGCTTTGCCGGACTACTTGCCCTTCTGTGCAGCATCCTGGATTTCCACCAGATTTGTGCAGGCTCATGTGCTTGTTGGTTGGTTATCTTAAGCAGTGAGCCAAGATTAATCAGCCCTGCATACTATGACAGTCTTGCAGGCCTATCAGGCAGAACTTCTGAAGAGCATGGACAAATGTTGGAGTGCTTTAAGGCCCTTAAGAATAGTGCCCAAATCAAAAGTAGGTCTATGGCTTGCATGGCAGTTCAGAATCTGAGATTCTAGATTAATTAATTGTTAACTATTTGATTTAATCCTAGATTGTTCAGTTCTTTGAAACTCATCTCATTTATTGTCACAGCAACAATTTCAAATCTTCTTGGAAGCAGGTTTATGGACAACTTGCACAGCTGATTCCACATACTACTTTTTTGGCTCAGTTATGCAAAGATTTATTTATAAGAAATTCGCTTTTATCCAGCACATTTTAGGGCTGTCGGTTGAATACTTCAGAATATTTCCTTGCCTCTCTATGAAAACAAATCTTCTTCTGAACACACATTTTGGGTGGACTGAAGTTTCAGGAACTAGGCAGCAACATAGATCTACACATAGATACCTCATTTGACTGTACCAGACACTTCAGCGTGTCCACCATCTTGGAACAGTCAACATTCTAAGGCTGTTCATCACTCATACTAACAAACCATTCAATTTTCATATACAGTAAATGCCATAACATTGTGCACGCTGTAACCTATTGTGCGTTATGGAAGAACGAAACACACGATGCAGGTCACCATCAACCTATGTATTAATGTTAAAGGAAGGTGCAACCAAACGATAGGAAGTACAATGTGTTTTCCTCCAGCATATACACCAGAGTACAGGGGCAGAGGAAACCCCGAATCAGAGTCTTAAAGGGATAGACACCCAGACCATTACATCTCCCCCACAGCAGAAAAAAAAAGCTGTCCTCAGCTGTAAATGACAGGCAGACGTCCTAACACAACTACCATACATGGTTAGATGCTTAGATATAGCAGCTGACAAGTACAGGTATTTGCATCAACATCATCTTGGGAACATACATGTTGCCTGATGAGATAATAACATAGCCTCTAATATATTTAAAAAAATTAAAGAAAAGAAAGGAAAACAAATGTGAAAATAAAATACACTGGGCCGAATCACAAATACACCATAGGAACATACAGAGCATAACAGCATTGTTGTACCCTCACAAACATGTATAGAGAGAAACACCATTATGAAAGTAACCAAGAACCGAAACTAACAGCAACATTTCAACACTTAAATCTATAGTTAACAATCAGGCCCCCTCACAATAATATTAACACTCCCTTTTTTTAGTATGAAACTAATTTGTCCACTTAGTTGTCGACCAGTCTGTTGTGACTCTGGGATGAACTCTGGGCCTTAAATTGTAGTGACACCCCTGTACTGGGCTTTGTATGGGATCATCCAAAACACAAGGATCAGGAAAAACATTATCATCCCTTGCGGTGCCTTGCACCATCGGGCAAAAGTCAACCGTTCCTGCCTGCCCATCATTAAGCAAGTCATCTTCTCTCTCAATGCAGGGTGATGGGTTCAGCTCCAAATCACCACCGCCCCTCATTTCCTGAACACCCAGACTGGAATCTTCAGCATCAGAACCACTCGGACCAGGAACTTGAATGGTATGCGCCTCAGCCGTTTGCCAAGTGTGAAAGGGCTGTAGATTCACAACATGCACCACACCCAAATCCTGAGCACCATCAACACTAGCCAGCCTATAATTTACCTCAGATAGCCGCTGCATGATTCGATAAGGGCCTCCATATAGTGGAGCCAACTTAGCAGCAAAGTTTGCTGCTGCATCGGACCTGGGGAGCGTTTTCAAACGCACTAAGTCTCCAGGGGCATATTCAACTGGCCGTCGACGCAAATCGTAGTGACGCTTCTGTTTCTCATGGCTAGCCTCCAGGGCTACCCTCGCATGATCATGAGTCATGGATAACGTGCTTCTCAGAACATCGGATCGACTAAGCATAGGGTCATTTAAATAATCAGTAGGCGGTTGAATGAGGTGGTCCAGTGGAGTTGCCAACTCACGCCCATAAAGCATTCGTGCAGGGCTAAATCCTGTGCTTTCATGGGGTGCTGTCCTCAAAGCAAAACAAATCTGTGGGATATATCTGTCCCAAGACGTTTGCTTATCTCCCACGTAGGCTCTGATGGCAGTCTTCAAAGTTCTGTTGATTCGTTCTGTAGCGTTGGTTTGGGGGTGGTAAGCCGTAGTCAGCCTATGATCAGACCCCACCATTTCAACCACTTTATTGAACAACGCACTCACAAATGGGGCTCCTCTATCAGAAATAAGGTGCCTAGGAGCTCCATGTCGTGCAAAAATGTCACCCACAAATTTGCTTGCGGCAACTTGTGCATTGGCTTCCCTGACAGCACTAGCCTCCACCCATTTACTGAAATAGTCAACAAAAACCAAGATGTACTGATTACAGATGCAGTCCGTGGCAACGGCCCCACAAAATGAGCCCCCACATACTCCCAGGGTTCATTGGCATGCACAGGGACCAACAAGCCCGCTGGTTTCAGTTGGGATGGTTTGGTGAGCTGGCAAACTGTGCAGGAAGATACATACGTGCGCACATCACCTCTCATTTTAGGCCAAAAAAATCTCAGTCTAAGCCTGGCAAGGGTTTTTTTTATACCAAGATGCCCCGCAGTAGGGTGATCATGATAATACTCTAGGATAGATCTCCGTATTGCCAATGGTGCCACTAACTTTAAATCTTTCCATGGGTGCATACCACACTGGACATTCACATCTTTGTAGTACAACAGTCCGTCTTGCACCATGTAATGGCCCTCAAAATTATCATCGTCCTCAATAGTCTCTGCATTCTCCAACTTACGAAGCAGCACACCAGTTTCGGAATCATCCAACTGAACCTGCCGTATTTGCTGCCTGTCCCCTAACTCAAGTAGTGGTTGGATACGCAAGTCCAGACCAGCTATAATGGTATAGTCAGGCAACACATCCAAAGGGCCACTACAATCAGGCAAGGTCTTACGTGACAGAGCATCAGGGACCCGATTTCCCACACCAGGTTTGTGCTTGATGCTGAAATCAAAATCTTGCAGCCGAAGACACCAGCGCGCCAACCGACCAGAGGGATTGGGCCTCGACATCAGCCATTGTAAACTACTCTGGTCCGTGTATACAGTGACATGCAGACCTTCAATGTATGGTCGGAAGTGCTCAAGGGCCCATATCAACCCCAGACACTCCTTCTCTGGAGTGGAGTATGGTTTCTCAGCCTTATTCAGAGTTCAACTCGCGTACGCCACAACTATCTCTCGTCCTTTCTCATCTTGCTGCATTAGTGCTGCCCCCAGCCCTGCATCACATGCATCGGTGTGGATATAAAATGCCTTCCCAAAGTCAGGAAACCTCAAAACAGGTGAAGAGGTCAAACACGACTTTAAGTCATCCATTGCCTTCTGACAAGAATCATCCTACACA